GCCAGACGAAAGGTGGCTGACCCCAGTTGAGCGGTGACCTTCATCGGCGCCGTCCAGAAGGATAGCAGCTTGTGGTCCCGGTTAGGACGGTGAATCCTGACCCAATCCCCCACTGTGAAGGGAGGCGCTCTCACCCCTCCGTCTCTTGTCGAACCGCTGCTTCATGCGGCGCTGAGCCTCTGCTACCCTGGCGCTCTGGCAGGGTGCGGCTGTTGGCGTGAGGGCCGCCGGGGCCCGTAACCGATCCAAAGGGAGCTGGAGCTCACGGCCCATCATCAAGAGGGCTGGGGAGCTGCCGGTAGTTGAATGCGGCGTCGCCCGGTAGTGAAGCAGGGTGCGGAGCAGCGCGGCTGAGAATGGAAGACCATCTGCCAGGTGTGCTCTGATCCCGTTCTTTAGGGTCTGGTTGAACCTTTCCACCCCCCCATTTGCTTGCGGGTGGTAGAAAGCTGTACGGATGTGTTTAATCCCCCTCTCTTCCACAAAGGTGGCGAACTCAGCTGAGACAAACTGTGGGCCGTTATCTGTAGTGATGGCGTTAGGACTGCCCCACCGAGCAAACAGAGAGGAGAGGAAGTCTGTGACCACCCGAGCCGTTACGGACCCTGTGGCGACCACCTCTGGCCATTTCGAATGGAGGTCGTAGGCCACCAGGAGGAAGCGTTGGTGGTGCGGGACGCCATGGAGCTCCCCACAGATGTCCAGCTGCATGTGCTCCCAAGGCGCGCGCGGCCACTGCAAGGGCTGCAGGGGCGGTGGGGGTGGCGGGCCAGTTTTGCCACTGACCAGGCAGGCCGTGCACTCCTTCACCATTGTCTCTATATCTCGATCTATGCCCGGCCACCACACCAAATCCCTGCAACGCTGTTTCACCTTCACGATACCCAGGTGGCCCTCGTGCGCCATAGCCAATACGCGTGCCCTGAGGTTGATGGGGACGAACGTGCGGAGGCCCCGGGCCACGCAGACACTGTTCCAGCAGGTCAGCTCGTCCTTGACCCGATGAAAAGACGCCAGCTCCACCGGGAACTTCGCAGGCCATCACTCCCGGATGTAAGTGCGGAGCCGGGAGAGCGTGGGGTCCTCCTCCGACGCGAGCCGAAGGTCCTCCAGGGAAACCGCGGCCTGAAGCGGGGCGTGGAGCATGAGTATGAGCTCTGACTCTGTTGCGTCAGGGCCCGCGCCGGGCGCTGGGGTGGGGGTGGCGCGGGAGAGCAGGTCAGCCACCACATTCTCCCTGCCGGGAGTAAACACTGTGGTGAAGTCATACGGCAGGAGCCTCTCTGACCAGCGGTAGATCCTCAGCGGTTTGTGCCCCGACCCCGATGTAGCAAGCAGGGCTGTAAGAGCCTGGTGGTCAGTACGCAACGTAAAATGTCGCCCATACACGTACATATGCCACCGCTCGCACGCCCAGACGCAGGCCAGCGCCTCCCGCTCCCCCACCGAGTATTTCTGTTCGGCCGAGTTGAGGGACCGAGAGGCGAACGCCACTGGGCGTTCTGTGCCCCCCTGGATCTGGGACAGCACCGCCCCTATTGCCGTATTGGACGCGTCACAGGTCACAAACGTGGGGCTCGCCAGGTCAAAGAATGCGAGCACCGGCGTTGAGGTGAGCTGCGTCTTGAGCTGGCGAACAGCGCCAGAGCAGGCCGGGGTCCACTCCCAGACCGCGTCCTGTTTCAGGAGTTCGCGTAGTGGGGAGGTGGTCGAGGAGTACTGAGGAAGGAAGCGCAGGTAGTAGGCCGTCATCCCCAGAAACGAAGAGATCTGAGCTGGACAGGACGGCTCAGGCAGGCGCAGCACCGCCTCTACGTTGGAGTGTAGCGGGCTGAGGCCGTCGGCGGTCAGGCGGAACCCCACGAAGTCGATGGCTGGAACGGCGAAGGTGCACTTTTCCCCATTGAGTGTGAGGTTGTGACCAGGCCTCGCCAGGCGTTCGTCATGAACGGCTGGTGTTGCACCATGAACCACTATGTCGTCCAGGAAGACGACCACGCCCGGGATGCCGGCGAAGATGGTGGTCATGATTTTTTGAAAACAGCTGGGGGCCGAGCTGAGGCCGAAGGGCATGCGGGTGTAGCGAAACACTCCGACATGCGTCACGAAAGCTGTAAGGCTGCGGCTGTCAGGGTGCAGCGGAACCTGCAGGTAGCCTTGGCGAAGGTCTAGTTTCGTGAACATGGAAGAGCCGTAGAATTGTGCGGCTAGCTCCTCCACTGGCAGCGGATACCTGTCAGGTATCACGGCCTTGTTCACCGGCCTGAGGTCGATGCACGGGCGCAGGCCCCCTGACTTCTTCTTTACCACCACCAGGTTTGAAATCCATGGGGAAGCATCAATCTGTTCGATGATGCCCGCGTCCAAGAGTTTTTGCAGCTCGGCGGTGACGTCGTCGCGCAGGGCGAGAGGCAGGCGGCGTATGGGCTGAATCACGGGGTGTACCTCAGGCTTGAGGAGGGGCTGGTGGTTAAAGGCGGTGAGGCAGCCCAAACCACTGAACAGAGCTGGCCAGCGCTGATGCCACGGCGAGCCAACAGACAAGATGGCGGCCCCAGAATTGTCCACAAGGCTGAAACCCAACTCACAAAACAAGTCAAAACCCATGAGGTTGGCCCCCTGGTGAGACACTTGAAAGGTGAATGCGGGGAGAGCCTTAGTCCCGTAACGCACAGCAAAGGTGATTGTGCCCGCCATTCCAATTTTAGAGTGTCCATACCCGTACAGATCCTCGGCGTCGGCGGTCAGTGTTCGGAGCGGAAAGAGACGCCGGACCGTGGAAACATTCAGGAGCGACTTGGAGGCCCCCGTATCCAGCAGCAGCGGGAGGCACACCCCATCCAGCTCCACCGTGCAGCACTTTAGCGGTCGGGAGATGGCGGCCACAGCGTTGACACCTCTGTCCTTTGGCAGGGCAGTTTGGAGCTCGACTCTGGTGCGATGATGAGCCACAATTACCACAGGCCCGGCGTGCTGCCGTACCCTGGCGTGCTGCAAAGTTCACATCAAAGTTGTCCTCAGGGAAAACCTCCCCGGGAGGCTCCATGGGTAGCGCCACCGTTTGAGTTAGTAGCATGGGTCTGTGGGGAAAATAACTGGAGGAGGGAGCTAGCTGTGATGCTAAGGCTGCTGCTGACTCAAGCTGGAAAGCTACCTCCACTGCTCTTGTTAAAGTGAGCTGGTCTGTCATCATTAGCAACTTTTCTCTGAGCGTCGAGCTGTTAGTGTGCTCAGCCAGCTGATACCGTATTAGTTCATCTTCCAGCGCCCCGAATTTACAGAGGCTGGCTAGTCCCCTCAGATCAGCCACGTAATGGTGGACGTGGCGTTGCCGAAAAACAATCCGCCGGAGCATAACATTTTGTGGAGCAGCAAAGTGTCCAGTGAGCAGTGTAACACAGTCCGCATATTTCGGAGCGGGTCCGAGAGTCCGAAAAATCCGCTGTCCCTCGCTGCCCAGCGTGTGTATCAGCAGGGCTTTCTTCCTGTCGTCGTTAGCTTCAGCTAGCCCCGCGGCTACTATGAACGTTTCGAAGGACTCAAGCCAGCGAACCCACGGAATCGGCGGTTCGCCCGGCAGTGCGAGGAACGGGGAGAGAGGTGAGAGTAGAGAGTCCATAATCCTCGTCGCCAATGTTGTATATATTTAGACTATGGACTACGACATTTAGGTTGACCGTTTATTCAACACGTTATTGCACACGCTGCCATGACAACACAACAACAACCAACTGTATCCGGTTCACACATCCCCAAACTCCCGGTGCCATCTTAAAGGCACAGTCACACTTGATGTGACACATACATAACACTATTGTGGGAAAAGTACTTGGTGTGAACGCGCCTATTATTCTCAGTCTTTAAACCTCAAGACCTTGGAATCTTCTCCTGCTGAATTTAATCTGAAGGTCTCGTCAACAGGTGTAGAGCAGCTGCTTCACTTGGTGTGTGTGTGTGTGTGTATGTGTGAGTGTGTGTGTGTGTGTGTGTGTGTGTGTGTGTGTGTGTGTGTGTGTGTGTGTGTGTATATCTATATGATTTATCTGCATAATGCTAGTGAGTCAGTTAGCCTTATCGAAGCCATGTACTGACAACAAAACAGCAGCGACTACATAAAATTTGCATTCGACCTATCTTCCTCGACCTTCATGAGATGAATCACTGTACCTTCTCAGGCGTTTTAGCTGGACACAGTTATAAATACATGCGTCCTGCAGCATGCTGTAGGTAGTCACGCAGAAGAGCTATGCAATGGGTGAGAGATTTGCAGGAGGGAGCTGACAGGTTCCTTTTCAGACAGTTACACATATCTGGAGCCCTGTGGTGAGAATGTAAAATGGTGAAGACTAATGCTTCTGTCCCCACTAATGGTGCAGTACACTAGAGGGAAAAATCTCTATAACAAGCAAAAGCGAGTACCTTCATTCATGGAATCTTCACCACAGCTGACACATGGTTTCCTGTTTGTGGTATCAATCACATCAATTAAGAAGAGAAGCTTATCAGATAACAGAAATCCTATTCGCCCCACAGTGAGGACATTTACTGTAAAAGGGACAGTGCAGATAAAAGAAAAAAATGAAATATGTAGGTTAACATATGAAATAGGAGAGGCAAGCACAGCAAAGAAGCACAATGGATATTAATGGAGTCACATCTGAACCTAAAATAAAGTACATGTCTGGAATTCCTCCAGCATGACAGTTGTCAAAAGGAAGCTGAACCAGGGTGTGACAGGAGGTCTTTGGTTTCAGGCTGAAGGGATGGTGGTGCAATGAATCATTGGAGAAGTTGCATGGGGGTGGGGGTTGTAGCCAAGGGGGGGTTGCGGTCAAGTACAATGTTGTTCCAAGGGGATGGCTGTGACAGGCAGTAGTTTAAGGAAAGACTGCAGGGAACAGAGCGGCGTGTAAAAAGCAGGAGACCTGACTGACACCAAAAAGCTCCGTTGAGGCAAATCTTTACTGCAGAGCCTGAGCAAAGTGCTGAGGAGATAAATCATGGGGGTGTGCAATGAACAAGGGTAAGAATATTTAAATTGATTCAGAGACTCTTGGATGGTTATTTAGGTAAATTGACTTTAAAGGGATGTTTTGTAATTGCAGCAAGGTATTAGCACTTGGAAGTAACAGCGTCAGGTGATATTGTGACTGTACATCACACGATTAATTAAAGCATAGTTTCTAAATTAGCTATACAAACCATGGTGTTATACAGTACATATGTATATATCAAGTGAAAATGTATACCATCACTTTTAAATTATATAGTTGATACATCTCCTTATTGTTTTCCACAAATACATTTTATTTTATTATTTTATATTTGTAAATGTTATTGCTATAATCTTACGTATTACATCCAGTTATTTTTTTATAGCATATATATTTAATGATAATTGTTTTAGGGATCCCGAGAACTAATATTTACATTAACGACGACTGCTTTAATATAATTGCTGTGCATATGACAACAAAGAACTTGCCATTTCGAATGAAGATGACAATTTAAACAAAAATGCTCATTTAAAATTGGTATATTGGTAAATATTGGAATAACATAAGCTTAATACTTCCATTTAGAGTAAGTTGTGACCTCAAAATTACTGAACATGTTAATTTCTACTTTATTATTCATTTATATTTTATCTCTGTGTGTTTCAGAGCGACCCTGGAGCCAGAGACCGGTCATATGATGATCAAAGACAGAAAAGGAGGGTCCCCTCGCAGTCGCCGCACCCCCCTCTCCCATCGCAGACAGCTCAGCAAGAGAAAAGACATGATGTTTGTGGGTCAGTTGCTGCATTCAGTTGTACATCTTAAAAGTAGAGTTTTAAAGCGTACTGACTTCTTGCTTTAAACTGCAGCTTACATTGTTGTAGTTCTGCGCTCTGGATGGAAGGCAGAAAAGATAAGAGCCCATTATTTGGAAATAAGTATTCTGAAATATGTTATCTGGTTGCATTGTGGGAAAAGTAGGATGAAAGGAAACAAGTGGCAACCTCCAGGTATGAAAAGTGAAGCCAAAGCAATAAGTGCCTTGATCCTGCATTCTCTCTGAAGGTGACTTGACTCATAGGCAAAAAGATTTGTAAAAGTCTATAAGAGAATGACCCTGATTCTCAATTGCTTGTTTCAAGCTTTCAAAACAGACTGATGATCAATAAGTAAATGATGGTCCCATTAAAAGTGGAATATGTTAAAGCAGCATGTTTAAGGGCATGGCTAACTCGTGATTGACAGATCATACCACAATGTTGTCCAGTGCGGCTGCTATCTCTTTGACCTATTAGCAGTATTCTTTCAGTTAACAAAAGTAAATGTAGCATTATGTTTGCCTCAGACATTGAACAGTGTTGGGTCCTATTTAACTTAACTCTCTCAAGTTTCTTGTCCCAAATAAACAAAATGGAAACATCTAAACAGCAAGATTGAACTATATTTTGGCCTCTACTGCATCCATTTTGAACATTTTTCATTTAAAATAGCCCTTAGAAGCGTCCCAACTCTGTGGAAGTCCTAATACATTCTTAGAATATACCTTCACAAAATGCTTTAAAATTAAATGATATAGTTGCAAATCTTAGCAATGATTGTGACTCTCAAACTGAGCCGGCTAAATGAAATGTTTTGCGTGAACAGTTTTTATCTACTTTTAAGTAAACATGAGCCTTTTTTAAGAAGTTTGTAATGCTCATTAAATGAATAAATGTTTCAAAACATCGTGGTCTTCTGAGACCAATTTAAAGACCATTTCCTGCTGAGTCTTACACTTTCTGCATGGCATCAGTGCCGTCAAGGGACTACTGTGGTCACCTTTGACTGTAATTGCTCCTAGAGGCAGATGCAGGGGAGGAATGTCTGTTATTATTTAGCCAACGTATAATTCTCTAGACAACTATCAACGCTCTCCATTATTATGTGTTTCACCTCTAGCAGAGTCTTCAGAACAACAGTTCATCCCCTCAAGGAGAGTCAGGCAGGATGAAACCAGACACAGAGAGCTGCAAAGATAGATTATAAACTGTATCAACACATTGAGCCTCTATAGTATTTAAAGTGGACCTATCATGCTATATTTGAATAATATAGTGTAGGACCATACCTATATAAGGCATATTTATACTTTTATGTCTCCTCCTGATTGGTGGAGTTGGCCCAATAGCCGTAGCGCCACCGTCCTGACGTCAGGACAGTGTTCAAATCTGGATCAGTTTTGATCAGATCCGTTGCAGCCCCTTTTTTAGAGATTTGGGTATGGAGGAAAATAGAGAGGGTTGTGTTTTCTGACACTTGGTGAGTTCCCTGGAACACCGGGGACACATATTCATGTATAAAAGACGTACAAAAGTGCATTTTGCATGATAGGTCCCCTTTAAATAAAGTGATGATCATATTGAAGGAGAAGGGCCGAATCAACTTAAAGCGTACTTACATAACTTATAGCAACGTTTTTGTGCATGCAAAAAAATAAAGTTATGAAACCTGAACATTGGCATATAATGAATGTCTGACAATATTCTGACAGGTGACAAAATAAAGAACAAACCTCAGTGAAGGAGTGGAGGAACATAACACATGCCTTAAAGGGGGAACTGAGAATAAAACATGCTGTGACTCCAGTCCTGTGGCCTTTTCAATAAGCAGTTAGAATCAGATATGTTGTTAAACAGCACTCTGTCTACCTCCAGCATCAGAACACAAAAAAAGGAAATACATTTTGAACGATTTATCAGAGTTCAAGAGGGTTGTTAAGTCCCTGCCAAAAAGCTCTGGAGCTGCTCTGGATGCTGAGGGTTAATGTTTTTTTTTATTTCATTTGTCACCCATCTGTGCATTTGCAGTCTTGTAAATTATTTTTCACTTTCCTGGATCGCACCTCTTTCTGGCAAGAATCACCATGGAAACCAGACAAAACAGCTCAATACTATCAGGTCCACTTTCATTTGTTTACTGCTTTAACAGCATAGAGAACTGCTAAATAAGTTAAATATCATTGAAAAAACAGGAAGTACTGTGAAAGACACATTTTCTTCTGTCCCAATTAATATAGAAAGGAGGAAGAAGGTATGTTTTGACTGAGAATTGTATTTAAATAATGCGTTTTGTGTTGGCAGTGGGGGGATGGACCCAGGAGGACCCATCCTGTTTGGTAGAGCAGTTCTGTCCTGAGTACAATGAGTGGCGGGCTGCAGCACGCATGGTCAACAATCGTGGCAAAGTGGCCGTGGGCACGCTGGACGGCATGATCTACACAGTGGGGGGGGAGGACCACATCCGCTGTTACAGCAGTGTGGAGAGGTGAGACACAGTACAGGCTCTGGAAGTCTTTGACTGACAGGTTGTGCATTCATTTATTTTGTATCTCCAAATATCCAACTTCATATTCTCTCCCATGTCATTTTTACCTTGAGCTCCTCAAGGCAAAGGATTTCTTGCTCTGAGAACCTCATTTCAGCATGTAAACCCATTTTGTTTGTTTCCTCACATTGGATTTCATACCCGTCATATCAAAGTGCTGATTTAATGAGAGGCTGTGAGTTTCTTATCAGAAAAACAGCAGCAATTAGAAATAAGAAAACACCTAAACACTTACTCCATGACAGAAACGTTTTTTAAATCAGGCAAGGCTGGAATCCAAAAATAATTAACAACGAACAAAACAAAAATAAAAGCTGTTATTTTCAATATCACAAATATACTTATCAACATGTTTTTTTCAATTCCATCATCCTAAATCACTTAGGTTCAGCATTATGACAGAGATAGCTCTTTATGGGTTGTTGTTGTTGTTGTTGTTGTGTACATACCTGAACAGCAGAGGTCAGCATTAAGGCAGAAATTCAATGAAGACCCTCAGACCACAAGCCATCTTTTTTTGTCAGAGGCGAACTTAAGCCCTCACTCTGGGATTTCCCTCATCTTCATGTTGCCAGGGTATCTATTCCTCATAGGCTTAGAAAGTCTAAAATAATCACACACACACACACACACACACACACACACACACACACACACACACACACACACACACACACACACACACACACACACACACACACACACACACACACACACACACACACACACACACACACACACACACACACACACACACACACACACACACACACACACACACCTTATCTGAGCTGCAGCCAGCTGACCCCGTAATGATCCCCCCCGTCTGGCTGCAGCCCAGCTGAGAACGACCTGTCCCAGACTGATCAGCTGTTAATGGCTGAGGGTTGGTGACAGCCGGTTACAGCACTGATATTTAGACGGAATTGCAGACGTCAAGAAAAATAAAAATGCCAATTAAAATCTGAAGTGTTTTTTTGTGGGATGTGGGTTTCATATAATGGCCTTGAATGGAGGGAAAACATTTGTAATAGCCCCAACAGTGGAGAAGAAACACTGGCAGATGTTTACACAGATGCCCAAAACATTTGTATTTCTCTCAGTGCCGATGTCTTCCAAAAGCACACAATTGCAGACACCAAAAACAAGATATACACACATGTATATGGAAGCATGTGCCTGTGTTTGTTCCACTCAAGTTGTTATTGGCAAAACCTGATTTCACACTTTGACATCCGCACTCCTTGACCCCCCTCATGGCAGGTATAACCCCGACACAGACAGCTGGAGCACAGATGTAGCACCCTTGAGCAGCCCCCGCAGCGGTGTGTGTCTGGTGGAGATGGACGGATACCTGTATGCCATTGGAGGACACGATGGCATCGCTGCTATTAATACTGTGGAGAGGTACTGAGTGCTACAAAATATCTCTTTTCTTGACATAACCTGTGAATCGTCTTAAGGGGAGACACTACAGGTACATAGGGTAAAGATTTTACTTACATAACCATAAACCTTCCCCAGCTGATACATTTTTTTTTAAATGCAAATGAGGCTTATTCTAAATATGTGCTTCTTTGCTTATATTTCCAGAAAAAAAAACGGAACAATTATTGTCCCATTTGGTTAATTTTTGTGTACATCTTTGTGTAACTCCATGAATCAGAAAATGCTGGCAACACCCAGTACACATTTTTTAATAAATGTAATGTTACAAAAATCTGGCTGTTACCAATAGAATGACAAATCCCTTTGTACAAAAAACCTTTTAAAATAAAATGTAGATTAAAATGAAACTGGCAAATTCAGTGAATATTAGATTAAATGAGATGTCTGGCTCAGAGTATGATAAATACATCATTTTAGGCAGCCTTTCAATCAATGTAATGTAAGTAATAAAATGTGATACTTAAAAAGAAAATCAAAAATCCTTTTAACTATGTCATCATGACATCGATCTTACCCAAGTTCATAACTTACAGATGTTCAAATATTTTCTAAGTTTTCTAAGTCATTAACTAATTCGAACTTTACTAACTTTTGGTGAATTTTGGAGGAATCTAAAGACACAAATAAACAGTTACAGTAATGAAACAAACACCTTAATTAGAATTGTGAATGTTTTTGCCTAAAATATATCATGCTTTTGCCTCTAGTGTCTTGCCTTACTGTTAACAAAGACTGTGTTCAAAACATTTCCTGAACAGTGGGACTACTTGTCATTATTTTTCCAATTAAAACAACAGAATTTAAAAGGCTTCTCTTTGTTTTTCTAAAGACAAAATGTTTAAATCACATTTACATTTTTCTTAGTAAGACAGGCTGTCTCTTATCTTGATTGAAGTTATAATGATTTTAATTGTCTGACATCTCGCATTACTGTGAAAGCAATCTGAAGTGGCTGACTCAGAGAAAGGAACAAAGACATGGTTTAATTTGAGTTATGCAATAGCATGATTCTGAAAGTCAGACTACTTTGGTAAATTGGTGTTGCTAACCAGATTTTCTTTCATTGTTCCAGGTATGACCCGAGAATGAACACATGGAGCAAGCAGGCAGCGATGCTGGGCAGACGCAGCGGGGGGGTGGCTGCTGTGCTGCAGGGTCAGCTGTACGTGATGGGGGGCAATGATGGGGTGATGGCTCTCAACTCAGGTGAGATATGTGGTTACAAATAAAAGACTATTTTTGATATATCGTAGCAACTTAAAATCAGTTGTCTAGAGAGTGATGGCTGAGGAAACAATTGCTCAAAAACAGTGTTTGTGTATTTATGCTCCTAAAATGTAATGCTTGAAAGCATGGCATACTTTTAGTGAGTAAGTCCCACTAGAGAGTAACATACAACCTTTAAAGATCTACATGAGAGCATCAAAAGTATAAAGCACATAGATGTCGTAAAACACTCCCTGGACCTTTTATAAAACACCAAAACACAAGACATATACACTGAAGGGGATATCTGCGTGTGGGTGACCTAATAACCCTTATAACAGTTTATCTTCCTTATCCTTATTGTGCATGTTAGAAAACACTTAATTCCAAACCTTAAAACATCTTTAAAATAAGGGTCACAATACTTCAGGAACCCTTAATACCACGATTTAGATTGCAGGCGTCAAACCTGAGCTCTCACAAACTGTCAGCCCAACACCCAAAGTAGTTCAATCTAAAAATCAATTCAAACAGAGCAGTCCAGCAAATCATAACAACATAGAAACTGTCACTAACTAATGTTGGGCGTTTTTGTTTTGGTAAATTAATAAAAGGATAAATTGATTCGAAAATGGTTCTCTCAACTAATTGATTAATGTTTGAAGTGCTTGCCATTGGAAAACTCAATTAAAACTCCAAACACTTATTTTAATTGACTGCCAGAGCTTGTTGAGTGTTTGTGTTAATATGACTGGCACAAATGATACTAAAACTTTGAATAAAATAATAAACAAAAGCAGCTTCAAGTCATATCATGAATTTATTTATGTGGGAATGCTACCTACCAACAGCCAACAGTTTTTTCTTAGCTTGGAGGCATTTTGTGAATTGACTTGTTCCCAGTACTGATGGAAACAAAACATCTCAGCTGTATTTGACAGCCTTTTGACTTGTGGGACGACTTACAGTAAGCAACGTATTACAACTAGCTTGACCTTTTATTCTCTGCAAGTAGCCCATATTTTCTCACACACACACACACACACACACACACACACACACACACACACACACACACACACACACACACACACACACACACACACACACACACACACACACACAGCAACATTCTCATGCCCCTGCCCTCGCCAAAGATAAACAGGGTTATGTGTTTGCTGCCACTTGTCACCGACTATTTCAGTCTGTGAGAAGTGCACGTATGTGAAATTCCCACAACCATTTTTGGATCACATCCAACTCACGGTCTTTACTTGCGAAATTGGTTGGAAAATAGCCTTATTTCCAAGTCATTTAAAAAAGACATTTATATAAAAAGAGATACTAAAATGATCGATAGCTAGTTTTTTTCGACAGACACATTTTGAGTGCCTTATGTACACCTAGAATTGCATTAGATCAATATACCCTAGACATGTTTCTATATAAATAAAAACAACTCAAAGTTAGTCTGGAAAAGTTAGTGTTACTCATACAGTGTAGCAGACGTGTATTATGTGATATGGCCCCTTATGACTCCTGCTATCTTCTAAATGTCCCCCAGTGGAGCGATACAACCCTGTAGACGGTACCTGGTCGATATGCGCCCACATGCTGAGTCCCAGGGAGAACGCGGGCTGCGCCGTGTACCTGGGACACATCTACGTGTCCGGAGGCAGAGACGAGCTCAACCTGGAGCTCTGCGGAGTGGAGAGGTTTGACCCGGACAACATGAGGTGGACTCCTGTCAAACGCATGAGGAGCAAGAGGGACAATGTGAGTAATGGATCACTAAGAGACTGGATCAGGTGTCAGGCCTCCCCTGTGATTTAAGGTCCAGTTTACTTTTACATCCAGATGATAAGAACAGACAGAATGGAGGGAGGTAATGTGACTGACAAGACTGAGTAATGGACACAATTTTCCTTAGGAGATTACCTCTGAATCTTCAGTAGAAGTTACGGTTCTCGTTATACAGGGCCCAGAAGGTTCCATGAGAGAAATAATAAATACATCGGGGTCACGATTTATTATGAAGCGCATGAGATAAGTATTCAGAGAGCCAGCACAACAGACCATGCCTGTCTCTTTGAAGCATGCAGTGAGATGCACCTGCTTGAAGTACATGCATCCACTGGTAATCATTGGGGTTTCCAATTGACCATCTTCAAAGTCAGCATGTTGCCAACGATATAATCCATAAATTCTGAATATCTGACTTTTAGAGGATTCCCAGACCATCCTAAACGTCAAATTAGAGGATTGTTCAAGGACCTTACAGAAGAGCACGCTCGTGATTGTCAATGGGGGGGGGGGAGTTTGTTCTAATCCGTCCTGCTTTCAGATTTTTCCGTCATTGTTAAAAAAAATCCATCATAGACGGAAAATATTCGGTTAACACGACCTCTGCTGCCAACATGTTGAATTTGGGATCAGAAGCTGGCCAATATGTGAGAACATTTTTATAAATGTGAAGTTAAAAATTATATCTAATTAGATCATTATTATTATTTGTATTATTATTATTGTCCCTCTCTTTTGCCAATCCCTGGCTCCATTTCAATTGTAATTTGGATCCCACAGTGTAAATGTTTTTCTTTTGATTTTCTATACAAGAACAAAATACATTTGGGGGGAAGTAAATTGTAATCTTTTCTGGCATGCCATGGATCGATTGGAAGGCATCATGTTTATTATAATGTTCACCATTTTAGTTTAACATGTTTTTGCCAATAAATACAAACAAAGATGAAGCCGATAGTAATACAATTAGTGTCGCAGACTCATAAAACAAATACAGATTGGCAATTTTGAGCCGCTGAAACTGTCTAATTTCGTCAGTTTAGCTGTTATATCTCCTTGTTCTCTCTTGTCCTTTCTCTTTTGAGCGACGGAATATATTCGGTTAACGCGACCTCTGCTGCCAACATGTTTTAATTTGGGATCAGAAGCTGGCCAATATGTGAGAAGATTTTTATAAATGTGTTCTTGTGTAGAAAATCAAAAAGAAAAACATTTACACTGTGGGATCCAAATTACAATTGAAATGGAGCCAGGGATTGGCAAAAGAGAGGGACAAATATATTGAAACAATAATGAACTAATTAGATATCATTTTTAACTTCACATTTATAAAAATGTTCTCACATATTGGCCAGCTTCTGATCCCAAATTAAAACATGTTGGCAGCAGAGGTCGCGTTAACCAAATATATTCCGTCTATGAATCTGAAAGCAGTTAGCCCCATTTGAAAAAAGAATGGCACACAATTATTAAAATTCATCCTTAGAGAGACACGAATGTCTGTAGCATATGTCATGGCAATCGATCCTTTAATTATCAAGACATTCCAGACAAAATGCAAATGTTGATAAAGGAAAAGGCATCACAAAACTCATTCTCTGGGCAACATGAATGCACAAAATTGTTTTCCAATTGATCTAGATTTTTGCAGAATAGTTTAATCAAAAACGTGTTTAAAAGTCAATGGATCACCAAAATGTTATTGCAATTAATTTAGTGGTTGTCTCAGTCTTGACTAGCATGTGGAAATGAATATCCATTGAGCTATGTTGCTATCAAGGCTGAAAGGTGTGTTGATAATTGTATGTATTTTTGTCATCTCGTACTAACTGTTATGTTTCGTGCCTCAGATGTCCCTTGTAGTGTTCAATGGAGCCTTGACGGCTGTTGGAGGCTCTGATGGTGTCACCAATCTGAAAACAATTGAAGTGTACTGCCACGTAACCAACACATGGAGGTAAGAGGAACATCTATGTTGGGACAACCCATAGATTGTTTACTGCTAACTGCTGGGCCTTTTTTTGAATCGAGCCAAGCCATTAGTTATTATTCCAATGATGTTTTTCCATTTTTTGTTGTTGTGCTTTACAGGGATAATCACATCCTAAATACAGAAGAATACAATATATCTTATGTACCAGGACTAACAGTCAATATGTTTTGCATTAGGATAACATTTTTGGGCTTTTTTTATTTATTACTCTTTTTTGCATAGCAGCCATGACATGCTGGCTATACAGTAATCAATACAATGGTAATTGACATGAAAGCATTTACACAATGGGTGATAAACATGCAAACAACGACAACCTTGTATAACAAGTAAAGGTTAGGTTTTATGGTGTGGTGTATATGCTAGTATAGCAAAAGGGGGTAGTGTTTCTTTTATGAAAAACATTGAAAAATTAATTAAATGAATTTCCCTGGTATTTAAAAAAAAAATAGAGTGGTAGGTATAATAGGATAATATTCAGTTGATAGGATCAATTCATAGCGTGCAGAAAAAGTTGATTGACTTTGGACAAAGTCATGCAAGACAATAACTACAAGTGTTAAAGGTCCCATGACATGGCCATTTCTACTGATCATAATTCCATTGTTGAGGTATACTAGAATAGATTTACATTGTTCAATGTTCCAAACTCACATTGATTTCTCATACAGCATCTCTGTGTATAGTATGTGTATTCACTCTGTCCTAAACGGCTTGTTGGAGCTCCTGCCCCCCCCCTCCCTATGAGCCCACTGTGCTCTGATTGGTCAGCCCGCCCACTCTGTTTTGATGAGTCCACCACCGTTACAGCGGAACATCAGTGTTTATGTGTTACAATGGCGTTAGCAACCAGAAAATGACACCAGTAATGACAAACCGATGAGAATGCTGCGTGGGGTCTGGGTGCCGTGTTGGCGGGACGTTGCGGGGCTCGCTGCTCCGCCCTTTGAGACTCGAGGAGCGGACAGTGTGAGCTGGATTACTGGTGTCGTTTCCTGGTTGCTGCGTGGGGTCTGCGAGACAGCGAGACACCGCAGAACTCAGTATGTGTGCGGAAATCTACGGCTGAGAAAAGATAAGGCTGAGTGAGTGTGTGTGTGAGGAGCCGTTATGTCACTATAACCGTTACGTCACAATACTCAGGAAGAAAAAAATGGAAAAAGAAAAATCTCCAACGAGGCGTTCTGGGGCAGCATAGACAGGTATTTTCTGTGTTAGAGTTTTACTCGCTACAGGGTGTACTTTGAGGGTTTGTGACTTTGCAGACCGTTTACATGCAGAAAAAGCTACATAACACACAAGGGCAGTGGCGTAACTATCGACGGTGCAGCCGGGGCAACGCACCGGGGCCCAGAGCCGGCCAGGGGCCCATGCAAAAAAATAAATAAAATTGACCGGTTCACGCAGTCTTCAAAGTAACCAAGCAACCTAAATTAATTTGTAATTTGTCTGTCCAATGACCTTGCTCCCTCTCATGTCATGTGATACCTTGCGCGACGAGCGAACCGTTTAATCAACCTGTACTGTACTGTAGCTAGCAGCAGCAAGTTCGGCAGCATTATAAAAAATGTAATAGCTTGCATTTATAATGTACAGCAAACGAAATCACAAGGGCAGCGCTCAAAAGAGAAAGGACAAGAGAGAACAAGGAGATGTAACAGCTAAACTGACGAAATTAGACAGTTTTTTTTGTCATACATCGTCCTCGAAATCGAGCGCTAACGTTAGCAATGTTGATGTGCAGCGGCAGCCGGAGCCGGAGGCTAACGATAGCTCACCACCATCATTGCCATCTAGCTCCACAAGTGAAGCTGTATCCGTGGCCGTGGCTGTGCAACCTTCTTCTCCAGCCAGCCAGGAGGAGAGGCTGGATCCGGCGGTGGTCCAACAGTTCCCCCAAGGGCGCCAACCGATAGGGGACTCTATGGCGCTATTGAGACCCCCGACGCCAAGATCAAAAGCTATATTATAGCAACCAGTCTATGTAGGCCGGTAGATTCCCCAGAGACAAACATCAAGGAAACAGTTTTAATCCTCTTCTTAGTTTGCTGTGCCGTTGTCAGGCTGTGGTGGTCTGAGGCCAGGGCAGGCTGTTGTTGATAGCTATACATGTGGCGCTTCTGAGTGGTTGTGTATGTCCGTGCGTGTGTGAGCGCATCAGTGTGCGCATATGTTTGGGGCGATGGGGGGGGCAATCACAACCTTGTTACGCCACTGCACAAGGGGATGGGTAATAACCAGATAAGCATGTCATGGGACCTTTAATGATGAAGAAGAGAATAGAGAATAGTCCAATCATCCAAGCTGATTGCTGCTATTCATTGAAATTTAAATGCAACATTAATTAATATTATACAGATTTTTCTTGTGATTATGAAACCATTGTCAGGAAATTTCAAGCGTTGGACAAAAATACTTGATATCCAGAGAGTCTGCAGTTACAGCCAGACAAATAAGTCACTTTGTGATTCATGCACCGAGCTCATGTAAGGCTCCTATATCTAATATATGCCTTCAGGCTGCTTACTGAATCTGAGTGCTTCAATGTCTCACTGTTTTCCTCTCCATCTGTTTTTAGACACTTTGGAAGCATGAAGAGCAAACATCCAGGAGGCAGAGTGGCTGTGCTGTGCTGAGACTCGACAATGCTCATATTATATGAATAGGACAGAGGTGTTAGAGAGAAATAGCCTAATGGATGTACGCCTGGCTCCACAGACACATTGTGATATGGTTTAAGTAAGTCTGCATAATGGCCGCATAATTGAAGAGTTCACTCTAAAATGAGACATCGCTGCATTACCCAAAGCTGGCAGCTGCTGGTACAAAATGACTACACGTAATAAATTAGAGGACATTATAGACTAGGAAATCTTTTAAAGTTATGGGTCTTTTTATGTGTGGAGCTTAAAAACATACCATATTTTAGACGGATGAATCAGCAGCAAATACGTTTCAGGTGTTATATGTATTTGTCAGAGAGTTGGATTTAGAAATCGATTGCACCATAATAATAGCCAGACCAGTACTGGATGTTTAATATATCAGCAAATTAATCAGCCTTGCAATTTAAAAAATGTCAGAGTGCAATGTTCAAAGTGTCAGAGTTTAAAAATAATCACTGGTGTTTCACAAAATAAGATACCACTTGTAAATATATTGATTTGCATGTAAGAAAGTAAGAAAGAACATGTATGAGCCAGAAAGATGGAGGTGAAAATTGGACTTTTTTTTGGGGTTAAAGCAGGATTCAAGTGACAGGATACACAATCTTTTGAGCATTGAGTATTTTAGTCAATTTCAGCCTTGATGTTTTGTAGAGGGATATTTTGAAGGTGAACAACTCAGTTGGCTCTTGGAAGTGGAGAAAGCTACTGAATATTTTAGAAATATGGGCTTGTAAAGCAGCATAATGATACAGAGTAATGATGTGATGTATATGTTATGAGCCTTTTGGAATTGCTACAAACATTTTTTTCTGTGTTTGAAATGTAGATGTTCATCATATTTCTATATTTTGTATGTACACTTAGCATCTGGGAATATCTGTGCTGCTATAATATTTTCAAATAGCCCTTCAGCATTGACTGTAAACATATTAGTCTATCATATTTCATCATTTAGCATGTGTAAACATTTGCCAAAAGGCACTGCAGCCACAGAACTGGTAAGAAAATGGGCTGGATCAAGTTGTGGAAAAGAAATCTGTGGGAATGAAGATCCTGAGTGAGATAAACGAATGAGTGAGATCTGTCTGTTGGCATGGGAAAGCATAAGTGGCTGTGTGGGCTTTGAAATGATGACGCTCAGAGCTCTTTCCCCTGGAGAATAATGGGCTGAAATGTGGAGAGGCTGAGCACAAGGAACGCACACAGAGCGACGCGGCTTTTCCGGAGAGACACACAACCCAGCGGTGTCTCCCTATAGTCACTTGGCGAACACAGAATGAATATTTTTTTCAATATGAGGGGGACGATTGTGAGACAAATAGCAGAGGACAGAGCTCTTGCAGGTATGTTTTTAACAAATGAAACATAACAGATGTTGCCTAAAAGTGATTGTTGATTACTATAAGTTACCTGGACTTTGCATGCACTGTGTATATCCTCTATTATTGATGTTGAATATATCAAGAATAATCAATAAATAACTTGTTATTTTGGGGGCTGTAGTGGTATAATTCCATTGTAATGTTTTTGCAAAAGTCTACACAGGCAAGTTAATGCCTGTATAATAAAGATTTACTTGCGTCTATTGAATGATATGTAACTGTTATATAGCATTCACAAGTGCATGCAGTACAGTTGCACTTTCAACATCTTACCACCAGATGACTCTGACTGATGAAAACACACACACACACACATAGCCTACACTAGATCCAAACTGGCATTTCAAATAATTACAATGCTTATAATGCAATAAAAAAAAGCCACAGTCTTGCATCTCCACAACAAAGACAATGTGACTTTATTTAGCAAATGGGATGGGCAAAACATGACGATGCACAATTACAGTTTCTATTCTTAGGTTTATCATTTCACTGAAAGCCTTTTTATGAGAAGTTTTCTGTCAGCATCAAACATCAGTTTCCACAGAATATACCACAAGTAGCTCACTCGTGTATGGGGAGGCACCAGTGAGGGACTAAGCCCCCTTAGTGCAGCTCTGTCCTGGAGAGGAAAGGATGCTGATGCTCACAGGAGGGCATGGAGACCAGCAGGGAGTACAGCGTGCCCTTATTTTCAATACACTAGCCAATGTTATATGACAGCAACACAGCGAAGGAGAAAGCCACAGACGAGGTAGCCTACTTACTGTGATTTTAAGAGACGTAACAGCGGCTGAAAAAGGTTACATTCGAGCTAATTAAGACGAAAAAAGTCACGTGGAAACGCAGGTCTATAGTCGACAGAATAGCACTAAAAATAACAGTTTGTCCTCCTTCCGCCAAGCAATGTAGTTCGTCAACACTAGGAAATAAAGTTGTTGCTAAGCGACAACGAAGTCTCTCTCAGTGGTGACGGATTTGCGAGCGCGCATTGATATTTAAATTAACTGTCAGGTGTGCGATTAATTACTACTGTTTCGAAGGCGTGTCGTCCAATCAGCAACGAGGACCGGGACTAGTTTTTTTTCTCTTAAACCTAAATAAACCGGCAGCACAGTCAGCTAAGTGCCGATAGAAAGCTAGCTTGTCAAGTATCTGTGTTTTTGTCGCAAAGAGGACCTACAGTGGATCGCTTTTATTTGACTGAAAGCTTAAGCCTACTCCCGTGGACTCTTATCTGCCCTCTGACTGCTGGAGTCGACTTCCCTCCCCTTTTTAATTACCATTTTCAACGATGCCAGAGCTCTCACAGGGGCGCCTGGATGGGAAACATCCTCTATCACACAGGCAATGCTGCACGAGCAGTGCAGGGAGGTTATCTAAACCTAACACATGTTTACGATGATGGGACCTCGGGCAGACACGAAAAAACAGCCAGGTAAACCAAGTTAGCAAGAAGTTAACCCATGTGACTTAGCCTATATTTGTTCCTTCAGGAAGCCTGACTTTACTCACAGTGACTTACAAGTTTACTTAGCTTTGGTGTATTTGTATTATTGAGTTTCTATGCAATAACATGGGACGGGGAATGGTATCTGTAGTATTATGTAAATCCTCACTGACTTAATAGTGTGTAAGTTTAATTAAACCCTTAAGCTTCATTAGTGTTATAGTTTATATGATGTCATAGCCTACTCCTTAGTGTTACAGTGGTGCTCAGATGGAAGGTAGCGAACTTTGCTGTTGATTGACACCCTAATGCTAATGCTTGACCTAAATGCAGATGTTTTTGGTTTATCAGCTGTGTTCAAGTGAAGTTGCTAAAGTATGCCTGTTTTATACATGGAGGTTGTTGTGTGAGCTTAATGTTAATGCTTAACAAACTTATCTTTGCATATGGTGACTATGATACAAAGAGGAACCCCTGTCCAAAATAATGGATTTATTTTTGTATAATCATACTGTAGGGTACATTTTTCAGATGAAAACCTTGAAATCATAATGTATAGATGTGTATGATGGTCCCTGCTTTAAGCTGCCATACAGTAAGTAGGGCATCTACCATGGGCCTACCGCAATACATATTTATGAAGCAGACTGCAGATTTTCACAGACCTTTTTATATGTCAGATTTGATCACACTGGACCTTGTTAATTTAGAGACACATTTTATACTTACCCTGCATGTTTCCCCCCCCCCCCCATGCTTCCTCTGCTTTCTTTCTTATAGAATTGCAGTTCTCTCTCCATTAAGGGGAGAAAGCCTCTTTCCGGGAGCAATTCTCCTCGTTGTTGTGGTCACTTTGCCTCATCCATTAGTCATCCCTCAGAGGTTTTTAAGAGGACAAGACTCATTTTGTTGGACTTACAGTACAGACATCAACTATTTTTAAATCAATCTTGTCATCTGGCTTATCTAAACCTCTCCTTTTCCCCTCAAGCACTTTGAATTGCCCCTCAAGCACTTTGAATCGCCACGTGCTGAAAAGTGCTATATAAATAAAATTGCCTTGCCTTGCCTTGCCTTGCCTTGCCTTGCCTTGCCTTGCCTTGCCTTGCCTTGCCTTGCCTTGCCTTGCCTTGCCTTGCCTTGCCTTGCCTTGCCTTGCCTTGCCTTGCCTTGCCTTGCCTTGCCTTGCCTTGCCTTGCCTTGCCTTGCCTTGCCTTGCCTTGCCTTGCCTTGCCTTGCCTTGCCTTGCCTTGCCTTGCCTTGCCTTGCCTTGCCTTGCCTTGCCTTGCCTTGCCTTGCCTTGCCTTGCCTCAATTCAAGTAAACATTGAGGACAATGGGTTCATTATACCTCTGGGATGACCTCTTTTATTTCCTGTTTTCCTCTCGTTATCTTTTCCTTTTCCCACCAGGACCCTAATTTGTCATCTCTCCACTCTCTTTCCTCTGTCTCCGCTTCTGAGGGTTTGTGCTTTCACTGCTTAATAAGGGGAGAGCATGTGTCTGGATGCTATTAGCCCACTCAACTCTGCCCACACTGTACTATGATGACCACACACATACACACACACACACACACACACACACACACACACACACACACACACACACACACACACACACACTTATTGTTCCCTGTGGAGGCTTTAGGAGGGTATACACACATCTCAACAGAAGACCAATAAATCATTTGATTGGACATTTTGAAGCATCTTAGAAATAAGTCTAACATTGAATCGCTCAAGTAGAAACATATACACATTAATGAGCCCCTCATGTTCAGCCAGACTGCAAATGCATTCTTGTACATACATTGTAGGTGTTTTTGAAATGGCAGTGTCCTATTTGTATTTATTTTTCTCTCCTTGTGTTGTTTTGTGGGCAGAACATTGGTTTAACAGCACCTTGGTAAGGCGATCCTTCCTCACCATGGTTGCACACATAATACCTATACTATAATATACAGTGCAGACCGCTGCCAAGGCCGTTTTTGTGAAAAAGAATGCGTCCATCCATTCTGTAATCGAATTCTGCTTCAGGATTGAATTGGTTGGTCCTTGGCTCTTGCTTAACCCTTCCACAAAGTTATAAAGAAAATCTGGACAGGGGTTTTTCTGTAATCCTTCTGAGAAAAAGACAAATAATTAAACTGAACGGAAAGAATACTTTTCTTTTCGAGATGAATCCACCTAACATGCTACTTACAATATACACATAGAAACAACATCACTCTTCTGGCATGAGTCAGACAGGGAACACATTAACATTTAACTGTACCGTTAAAGAGCGTTACTGTAATCTTCCTCCGTTTAAAGAGCAGCACATTCGAGGGACCTTGCTGAAGTCTGGGGGGGGTTAAGCTGCGACACTGGCAGTGAATGTAATCGTATCACATCCTTGCTAAGTGCGTAAGTGCTGCATTTTTAATATGTGTGTTTAAACTCTCTCACTGTTCCCCTTTCTCCCCTTCTCTTGTCCGTCAATCAAAAGAGGCAGCCATGAACCCGCCACGCCGGACATCAAGCCCTCCTCGCCGGACATCAAGCCCTCCACGCCGGACATCAAGCCCTCCACGCCGGACATCAAGCCCTCCACGGAGACCATCAAGTTCTCCTGATGATAGGTAATCTACCGAATCCCCCTGTATGTGACACTGTAGGAACACATACACAAACCACTAGGCAGCCAGCTTTTATGCATTACACACACAAACGCATGCTGTCATCATGAAGTAGGCAGTTTGTCTTTTCATATTTGTCACTGCCATAATCTGTGATGGTGGCAAACAGTCAGTTCTTCTTTTTTAATTATGCACGCGCTTGTATATGTCCATTTTATTTTGTTAAATAAAACACGACACTTGTGAGATAGGACAGTAATGTCAAATCCTGTGTTTTCATGCATGACTTGTTTCCACTCAGAGAATCAGGTCCACGTTTAGCCTTTTTTTTTTTCTTAAACCATCTGTCAAATCATTTTAGGTTTAAACTTTGTTGACCGAAAACAGCTTACGAGTTCGGCTAGAATCTTCACTCAAGTGTAGTAATGCATGCCATGTTCACTTCAAATCTGTATTCATGGAACAGATAAATGGGCCCTTTTTTTCCCTTTGCACTGATGGTTTGTGTCCAAGATGAATGAAGCAGAGGCTTTCAGTAGCACATAAAGCCCCCGGACATTGATTGTTGTGATTTCCAACAGTGCGTTGTCATTATACAACCCTGTAACTGCCTTTAGACTTCCAGCATTTAACCTTCCTCCCAGTCATTCTCTTATATTTATCTTATCAAAACAATCGTAGGTTTCTTATTATGCTAAGATATTCCATTATTTTTCTAGATTTCAAGGTTCAAAGGTTTGAATAAGCTACAGTGTAGAAATGGCAATGAAAATCTTTGCCATTTTGTTGGAGCTCCTCCAACGATGCAACATATATAATAAAATACAAATAAAAAATAGTGCAAGAAGACTATATACACGTAAATAGATTATGATTTATACAAGAACAGAATGTAAAATGATTGTACAGTAAGATTAAATTAAATATGGTTTATTATTACGGTGATAACTATTTAGATAAATAATTCAATCGCAAGATGACAAACGGATGAATGTTTATCGAGGCACTTAACAGAGCTCAGGTGTTCAGCAGTCTTATTACCTGTGGAATAGCAGAAAATATCAACATTGCAATTGAAGGCAAACATGTTGTTTCTGCTGTCCTTCTCCCTCGCAGGCCCTCCACTGAGAGCGTGCAGATGAACAACAGCAGCAACTCCGGCGTGATCCTGGACATCTCGGCTCTAAAGATGGCGGAAGTGGACACGGAGGTGCCTCCTCTTCCACCTCGCTATCGCTTCAGGGACTTACTGCTGGGGGACCAGACCTTTCAGAACGATGACAGGTAAAACACTTGTAATACGATATACGAGAGACGGCTTTGAGTTGACTGTGTGTGTGGGCGTGTGTCCATACAACTCATTTATGTTTTCAATTGTTTATTTTATTCCACTTGGAGTTAACTTTGTGCTGCGTGTTGTTGTTTCACACTGCTGTATCCGTGTTTCCCGAGCAGCAGCTTCATCTCCTTCTACCTTGGTTAGTTTCCCCACATTTCCAAGAATGACTTCTCATCACAACCCGCTAGCGTTGTGGTATGACTTATGTTGAGCTGTTTTATGTGTAGGTGGTTGGAGCAATGAAAATAGAAATGGAGTGAGGTTTTTAGTTTTGTATTGAGAAAGTGTCTTGCAACTTGCACACATCTTGTGGCTGAATGCACCGTCGACTATATGGAGTTCTATTGGATGTTTCTTTTCTGTCTCTGTGATTTGACCTTCTTTAATTGTTGCATTAGTACAGTTTTGTAAACAAATGGCGAAGACGCAAGGAACATTACAAGTCGTGTTAATATGGTCTGCCTATTTTTAGATAGAAATTCCTAGATTTTCCTCTTGCTTCGCATTGAGCATCAAACAACCGTCCCTTGGCCCTTGACTGGTGCTTTAGTCATGCTGAAATGTTTGGGAGTCTACTAAGAGCTAAATCATTGCCGCGTTTGAAAGGCAAACCAAACCGATGCTTTTTGCTGCCCAAGAGGGGGAGACTTAGCCGAGCGTCAGCCACGGCTGAGCACTGCGGAGCTCTCCGTGGTGCTGAAATGAAGCCATCTCACTGGAGGATCAGCAATCACTTTAGCTGGGGCTTGCGAAGACCAAACGCAGAGCAGTGCTTTATCCTCTTGCTCTGTCACTAACCTTAAATCTAAAGCTGACAGGAGATTCTCTATCGGAACTCAAATCAGCCACGACTGTTGCCTTAACATCACAATAAAACTAACGCTATACACGATATACACCACTGAAACCTCACCTCCCATAACATCTTATTATTCTCTTTCTTTGATATACCTGTGTACATTTGAAGGTGTATCAGAACTGACAGTACTTACTGTAGGTATACATCCTTCTCTTTCAAACCTTGCTTGTTGTCTCATTCAGGAAAGAAATGGCTTGATAACCATTGCATTTATCCCGCTGTGTAACAGTATCGTTGCTTTTATAGTTTTATCGGTGGTTGAATCTGACACACAAGCCACGTGTTTGTTATCTCTTTACTCCAGGCTCTCGGTTGTCCGTAGCAGCCGCAGCCATGTTTCGCCATGACTGGATCACCTTCCATGGCTTTTGTGTTTCGCAATGACCTTATTGATCTCCTTCTTGCATTAGTGGATAGTGAATATCATCACTTGTGAAATCTCATTTTTGCACCAAGGGTTCTGTCACATTGGCCTTTTTTTGTCACCATCCGCTCTTTCTCTGTCGCTGGATCTCTCCGTTTGCCCCCCCTCTCTGTTTGTCTCCAGAGCTCCCTGCAGTGAATTGCTGTCAGTATGTTTTATATCAAAGCGAGCTCTTTTGTCTTCACATTTATAGCAGCAGTCTAGCATTTGACCATTCCCCCCCACACACATTGGTCTGTGTGCGTTCCCAAGGGATTCAGCGATGTCTTGGTATTCAGACTACAGATCCTTATAGAATTTGTATTTCTAGCTGCATGCCAGTTTTATCAATAGTGATGACATAACAAATGCATGTAAGCCAAGGAAAAAAAAAAAAGAAGCAATTCTGACTCACAGTATGGATTACACTGAATAATAATGACATGAACCTTATCTTTACCTTACCTCATCTTTCAAATACGTATACATGCATGCAGCGTCTTGAAGACCTTGAGATGTTTGAATATGTCTATCAGGCTGCTTGAGAATGCATGTTGTATTCCCGTGTGTGTGCGCATGTGTGTTTCGTCCAGTAAGTCCCCTGTGAATTGTTTTGCTGATCACTATTCAATTGCAAAGGGTAATTAGGGTGTGTTGCTGGGCTACCAACACTTGTTTGCCTCAGTGTGTGTTTGTACATTTTGTGTGTGCTTATGCTCAGTCTTGTCAAACAGCTATATTGATTAATACACAGATACAGCCTTAGTTGCTTCAAAACAAATAACAGCTGTAAACGGCAGCTTCTGCACACCTCTGCACAGTGTGTGTTAGGAAATGAATTAAGATGCAAAAGAAGAGAAAAAAAATGGTTATTGATTTGTGTTATATGGCGCTGTTCTATAATTGTTTCCGATCTCTGGAGTGGAAACGGAGGCAGACGCGTGCCGCTGGGCTTTGGCGATGCTCTATTTCTCGGTTGATGATCTTCCTCATGCTTCTTGTTTGTGATTATTTCCTGTGCTGATGCCATGTCGAGTGTAAAGCCACGAAGCAAATTAACCCCCTGAGGGAGAGTCAGAGCCCCCCCCCCCCCCCTTGTCCCTCTCCGTGCCCTGATAGCCTTTTGCATCTGTTTCAATTGCATCTATCATGGTGGGCTATGAGAGGGAAAGGCAGTGGAAGGAAATACTCATAACTCACTGAACATAATAACATCGCTAGAAGGGAGCCCGCTAGGGAGCCACAAGAGTGGTTATGCTCAAACCGCTTGTAGAAAAACGCATATAAAATAAAAGTAACATTACTAGTGTCAATGCACTAAAGAAATAAGGAAGCGCTTTACAAAAACGAAATATTAAAGCAGTTTGTACTTCCAAAAAGGAGCCGTAAAGTCCTCTGACATGTTATATATGATATAGTAGTACTGTAATACAATTCATCTTTGACTAATTGTCTGAAGATATAAATGACCACATAGGAATGGTTAATGAAGGAAATGAAATGTAGGTACTTCTTAACATTGATGGAAAAATGCTCAAAATCCCACATATCCTTTAAAGTAGGGCTGCAATAATGGTGTAGTGTTTACGGACTTTTCTTTGCTAGAGAAAGTGCCTTCCATTACAGGTTGCAAGTTATGAGCAGTTTAATTAAAGAGTCATATTTCTTTGCAAGTTGAACAAATGTAACACACTACTTTCAGAGCGGACTGGACTTGAAGGCAGACGGCTTCGAGAGTGCTGAAACACAGCATTTCAGAAGGAGGTTGAGGATAGGTATTTTCAGAACGACAGTATGGAAACAATTATGTATTCCTGAACATTTAAAGCAGACTTTTTGTTGTTGTTGGGAAACCAGGCATTATATGTTTCCTTTAATGTCCGAAAATCTCAACAAATTCAGACCAAGGTTAGGAGCAGAAACACACAACAGAGAAATGCACTCCTTGTGTGTTTTTCGATTTCTGCCAATCCAAGAGGATTAAGGCAGTAATCCCTTCTGTGCTGTTAGAGTATGTGTGTCCTTGTATCTGTGTCTGTGATGTGGGCGTACTGTGTGTGTGTGTGTGTGTGTGTGTGTGTGTGTGTGTGTGTGTGTGTGTGTGTGTGTGTGTGTGTGTGTGTGTGTGTGTGTGTGTGTGTGTGTGTGTGTGTGTGTGTGTGTGTGTGTGTGTGTGTGTGTGTGTGTGTGTGTGTGTTGTGTGTGTGTGTGTGTGTGTAGTGTGTGTGTGTGTGTGTGATGTGTGTGTGTGTGTGTGTGTGTGTGTGTGTGTGTGTGTGTGTGTGTGTGTGTCGTGTGTGTGTGTGTGTGTGTTGTGTGTGTGTGGGTGTGTGTTGTGTGTGGTGTGTGTGTGTGTGTGGTGTGTGTGTGTGTGTGTGTGTGTGTGTGTGTGTGTGTGGTGTGTGGTGTGTGTGTGTGTGTGTGTGTGTGGTGTGTGTGTGTGTGTGTGTGTGTGTGTGTGTGTGTGTGTGTGTTGTGTGTGTGTGTGTGTGTGTGTGTGTGTGTGTGTGTGTGTGTGTGTGTGTGTGTGTGTGTGTGGTGTGGGGGGGTCTCCTTCGTGAGCTGTCATTATCTTCAGGGTTGGGTGTAAGAGGGCCATAATTATGGCATTGCTGTGTGGGTGCTGAAGAGGAGCAATCACACTGAAGTCATGAAGTCTGACAAGCGATTGGTCTGTCTCTGTGAGTGTGTGTGTGTATTGTGTGTGTGTGTGTGTATTGTCTGTGCAGGTGTTTATGTATATGGACACCGGTGTACACACCTGAGTGTCTGATTATACATCCGAGTGTGTGTGTGTACGTGGGTTTATCTCTCTGTCTGTCAGCCAGCAGAGGGGAGGCTAGCCTTATCGTCAGAAATAGAAACAAGCCACCATGACACTTTTATACACGCCGACAGGGATGGAAGCAGAGCAGCAGAGAAGAGAATTGGTTCCATCTATCTTTTCCTCTGTGTGTCTAATCTTGTTTTAACCCCTCTAATCAAGGCAGGATTCTGATGGGAGTAATGTGGACAGTGTTGATTGGTCACTGGTTCAACTGTAACACCTCGTCGTGAGTCAAATAGTGGCTCTTGGCATGGTGACCCGACACTGACGCACGTTCTGCTGTCAGGCAACAGCTAGTCCCAGTCACAGATCATTCACTTGTGTTGCCGTGAAAATGTTTTATCTCTAATATGACAGCTTTTCAGCAGAACAGCAGAGGCCTGGTTTGTAGCTTGGTAAAATGTTCAATCACTCGATCTTTTAATGAGTGGATTTTGATTTGGATGCATTTTTAGAACCAAAGTTGGTGAGTTTTCTTTAGCAACATGTGCTTCCTACACAATGTGTTTCTGCTTTATCAAAAATATTCCATGTTTTGATATGAGGAGAACAGTTGTATCTCTGTGATGGCTCCTTTTTTAAAAAAAAAAAAAGGTTTTTCCGTCCAGGCACATGTCACAGAAACTCTAAGTGGTAAACAGACACAACAATTGTACACTGATGCTGGCAGCAGCTGTTTGTGTACGCGGATTCTGTGGCAGAACCGACTACTGGGATTTGGCGCTTCAACAATTTTCCATCTGAGTTTATGAGGCTGATGATAAGATGGAGGACAAAGACAAACGTGGGGGGGGAGCAGAAGGAGCACACAGTCCCAGAGGAAGGGGAAGGGGTAGATGGAGGAGATGGCAGATAGAAGAAAAAAGTGAAGGATTCAGATGAGTGGGGATTGACACTGATATGAGGAAGATGATGGGGATGATTAGATCCATTAGGTCATGGAGGACTGAGCGCCCCCAGGCTATGTTTACACTGGAGACCCTCTATGCTCAGAGCCAAAATACTGCTCATTTTACAAACATGTTGGTAGGTTTGTGTGCTATCGGTTATACAGGTTTCATACCACAAGAGACATTTCATCTCAACTCAAGCACATTATGAAAATACAATTTGAAAAATGGTGTACTTCAAGACATTTAAATGAAAAACAAACT